CTTCCTGGTATCACTGGGCTATAGGATATGACATCCAGGAATGCAGTAAGCCTTGCTCTGTGGGCTGGATGTCAGAAACAATATGCAATATGTAATCTTAAAATGGCTTTATTATTTGTGGAACCATTTTACATTGGAAACCTAACAAAGGATTTTATAAATTCATTGAAAATTTTAATTGTTGTTACTGGCATTCCCTACTATTTTGGGTCAAAACATCCCCCTTATCCCACTCTTCTATGCTTAAGCCTGCTAATGTCTAAATGTCTACCTATAGTGCTCTACTACTCTCTGAAGTGCTAGGAACAAAACTAAGGCATCATTTTTGCCTCTTTTCTTTCTCTGATAATTCCTCATGATATAAGTAAATCCTCTTGGGTCTACCATTAAAATATAATCCCAAACCAGACACTTTCGTAACACTGTCAGTTTTAACCATTATGACCCACGCCATAAACTCCTGGCCTGGCTTATTGAGGTGACCTCTTACCAGTAGAAAGAATTCTCAGCAGATGTTACAAATGGTAGCTACAATATCTCTATGTTCTTTTACCTTTGTTGGCAGGTTGAGTCTAACTTTCTATCCAAATAATTTGATTGTGAAACTAGAAAGAAGGGGAAATACAGGTAGATTTTATAAGGAGTAAGGCTTTGAAGCTGTCAACTCAGGAATGCAGATCCTCCTTTCTGGGAGTTACTGCTTTTTGATCTCATAGTGTCTGTTCTATCTGCTCACATCCCGTTTAATAGTGGACACTCTCAGCTTTAGTGTAAGCAAACAAATCATGCCACCCAGCCTACCCTGGGTAGAGACCTGGATTTCTCCTGGTTCAGGCCAACTGACAATGCTGTACTTCACTTCTAAATTCCCAAAAGAGATAAGCTCTGAGTTTGGTTTATTTCAAGATACCTGTGCTGCTCTAATGAACTGGAACCCAAAAACAGGGTCAATTGATTAACACACAGTGGCCCAGAGGCCCATCATTTCAGCGGGGTCTAAGGAGCTGATTCAGAAAAGGGGGCTTGAATCAGGCAAACCAACTAATTAATATCTATATTGCAATTTACCAATAATTCAAATTCAATACTCCGTTAAATGATATAGTGAAGCAATTACCGTCATGCTCACATGCTTTGAGGGCTCAATAAAATGAAATGAAAACAATAAAAGTGGATGCTTGTAAGAGAAATAGATTTGGTTCATCTTCCCATAAGTTTCAGCCAATAACAAATATCTCATTGAAATATCTATTTTCAGTTTCCACTTTATCACGGGCGACATCCAGCTGCCCCTGTGACACCAGTCCTAGAGTCTCCATCAGTATGGTAAAGCTTAATAATGAGGAATGGCAGATTTGGGAGTTTGCTGCATTCCGAGGTCTTTAACCTTCCCATGCTTCATAATTTAGTAGGCTGCCTTTCTCTTTAAGTTTTTTAAAAAATTTTCATCTATCAATGCAATATTGTTTAGTGCCACCCTGACTCAGCTAAATGTAGGCTATCTATCTTTAATTTATCTGTGGCATGCTATTACATCATTATGTTCTTGTTCATTTTTCACTAAGTAGGTAAGAAAGAATTCCATTTGGGAGCATACCACTTAACCAAAGGCAGAAAACTACGGAACTGCTTAGAATCAATGTGCCGATTCACTCATTAAAATAAAAAAAAGAAAGAAACTTTTCTGAGGGACTATTACAGGTAAAATTCTGTGCTCTGTGATAAATTTTAATATAAATTATATTAAATTTTTACTTAATGTATCCTAAATTTTAAATACTTAATTAAAACTGTTTCTTAAAATTCTAATTCTGTTTATTTTGTGTTTTCTTGAGACAGGGTCTCTCTATGAAGTGCAGGCTGGCCTCTAACTCACAGCTATGGCCCTGGCTCAGCCTCATGAGTACTGTGCCACGCTGGCAGGCTTTTAATTACCATTTTAAAAGCAAACTAATCAAATAAAATAATTTGCAATAAATACCAGGAGCTTGAAGATCCATTTTTTAAAAATCTTTGCTTTCAAAACAGCAGCTATTTTGGGACATTGGTATTTCTGCCCAAATGTATTTCTGTGTATGGCCCGTTCCCCCTTGAATTTGGAGGGGATGGATTACAATTCACAAAGCAAATCTACGGGTATTTTAAATTTTAGGGATCTTTTAAGAACTAAATTTTTGGAATGCCAGGATGAGTTTATAATCTGATATAGAAACCAATAAATTAAATTAGTGACCTCTTGAAATCCCTTTCATCACTAAGATCTTAGAAATTGACATTTATGCATACTTTCAGCCTGCTAAGCAATGTAGTACAAACTGTTCATATTTTCCTACCCCCATATTACCCTCATAAAACTTTAGAGATAGTCAATCTCATTTTACACATGGAGAATTAAGCGATTTGCCCCGCATTGCACATATTGCGGGAACATGGATTGAAATTCATGTTTAGAAAATAAAGTCCAGGATTTTCCCACTATACCACAAAACCTCTAAGTAAATTGTCCTTTCTCCAAAGAATTCCATAATCCAGTGATGACAAATTGATCAACAGATATATTTTAAAACTAGGTGAAAAGACAGACCATAAATTCGAAGGGAATAAGATCTTTCTGTTTGGCTGTTTTAGCTATGGAGTCATTTGTATTTGTAAAAACAAACAAAACCAATAAACACAACAAAACCTTCTGTGGTCTTAGAATGTTCTTTTCCCTGCTGTTCCCTTGTTCAACTTCTACTCATCTGCCGTCAGCTAAGCATAGCATGCCTATTTCCAGACCTTTCCTGGCCAAGTAAGTGCCCCAATCAGTTCTCCTCCTCGTTATTTCCCCGCTGAACCCATTATTGTTTTACGATTACTTATCCATGTCACTTCGTCCCGCTGAGATGGTGGTACGCTTATTGAAAGCAAGGATCGCATTTGTCTGTCTTCGCGGTGCCTAGGCACATTGTGTCACTTTTGACAAAAAGTGTGCTGAAGAATTAAATTAGTAAATCAAGATTTCAGAGTCACTTGGGAAATAATTTTCGAAAGTCTTCAACTTTGTTTTATTATTTTTCCCCAAGTGAATTATCTGCTTGATTCAACAAATATTAAACCAGAAAATACAGTTGTCTTAAAAGTTTTAAATGCGGGGTCCTGTGTAAGCTCCATAGAGAACTACATTTCCCGAAACCCACGAGCCCCAGTCCTGGCTGGTTTGCTGCCTGTTCCTGAAGTCAGTTCATCTCGGCCAATACTAACGCGATAATTTCCTGAACCAAGCAGAGGACGGCCAATCACAAAGGGGAGGGCGGGCGCTTCTGATTTGGGTTCGAACAAACAAGCCTTTGTAAATCCGTAGCTTTTCACCGGACCCCAGCCAAGGCTGGGAGTCTTTAACTCGGAGATAGTCCTCCCTGCCCCCGCCCCTCTAATTAGCTTTTACGTCTGGGCACTTCCCACTTGTCTATTTTCCACTCCTTTCCTTCCTAATTCAGTCCCAGTCTCCTTTCCTTGCAGACTGCAGGAGGATTCCCTCCTGCATGTCTCTGCAAAGTTGAACCAGACGCCTACACCTGTCCCTAAGCATCCGAGGGAGACTGGTCGAGTGAAGCGGCAGAGCGGTGGAGCAGAAACTTCCTCCGACTCTCCTTTCCCAGCCGAAGAGTGGAAAAGTTCCTGGGGTTGCGGAGTCAGCATTGCGAAGAGGATTTAAGGTCCGGAAAACTCGTGGCAGCGCGATCTCACAGGCCCGGATTTCGGAGTCCGTCCCTGTCGGCAGCCTATTCTTTGCTAGCAGCGATCTGCCACCGCCAGACTCGTTGTACTCACAGCAACAGCTTCAGAAAAGAGGCTGGGCTTCCTTCTGCCTCTGGGTTCCACTCCGTTTCTACCACCTGTCATTCTTTTCACACTGACATTTTTGCCCAGGTTCTCCCTGTCAAAAACCCAAATCCAAATCCATCCAAAACAAACCCCCTTGGCATAAAGCGACAACCTTAGTATTGCAGCCAGCGGCCGGGACCATGCACAGCTTGAAGGTGGGGGAAAAGGAGAGGAAGCCTCAACCTTGCTTTTATGGTCTAACGTAAAATCAAGTCCTGCTGCTTGTGAGTCGCCAACGTTTTTTCTATGCCAGCTGCGGCAGAAGCAGCTGCAGACTCTGGCAGGGAGACCAGGGTGGGCGAAGCGGAGCCAGCGTCGGGGGTTTTCGCAGAGGGCCACTGAAGAACCCAGGCTTTCTCGCCGCTGGGGCGCTGGGGAGGGGGGGCCGTGAGTTGGGGGGGGGGGAGGATCGTGCTTGCGCACGCGCGGTTGCCCGCTCCGCTGAGGCCCAGCTGCCGCCAGCACAGCGGCGAGCTCTGGAACCGCGGCTGCTGCCTCTGCTGTTCGCGCGGGCTTCGTTGCCGAGTGCCGAGCGCCCTGTTAGGCGACAGGGAGCCTCCGCCCGTGGCGGCGCCTGAGGAGGCGGTGGGGTCGGCGGTGCGGAGAGCAGGTCGAACCGGCGGCGAGGCGCCCGCAGCGGTGTCTAGCGCGCGATGCCAAGCGGGCGGCGTCGCTGAGCGGCGGGAGGCCGAGTGGCGGCGGCGGCGGCGGACCGAGCAGGAGCAGGAGACGGACGCGCCGAGGGACTGCGAGACCGGGCGGGCGCAGGGCGGCGGGCCGCGGGTCATGGGCGCCGCGGGGGCGAGGCGGGGCGGCAGCGCGGCGCAGAGTCCGCCCGCCGCCAGGTGAGGCCGGGCGGCGCGGGCGCGGGTCCCGCCACGGCTGCTGCTTCCTCGGGCCGCGGGCCGGGGAGCTGAGGCGGCGCCTCCGCAGCCGCGGCGAGCGGCGGCGGCCTCGCAGGAAGAGGGGTCGCGCTCGCTCGCGCTCTCTCTTGCCGTCGCAGCGTTTCCTGTGCGGATTATCTCTGGCTTTCCCCTCTCGGCGGCCGCCCTCTTCCCCTCACAGTCGCGCTCCGCTGGGTGCTCGCGCGAAGCTGCCCTCGGCTTCGCCTCGTCCTCCCCTGACTTCTCCCCTCCTGGGCTTCGGGGGAGACCCTGCCGGGGCCATGAGGAAATTCAACATCAGGAAGGTGCTGGACGGCCTGACCGCCGGCTCGTCCTCGGCCTCCCAGCAGCAACAACCACAGCAGCACCCGCCCGGGAGCCGGGAGCCCGAGATCCAGGAAACACTCCAGTCCGAGCACTTCCAGCTCTGCAAGGTGAGCGGAGCGCGCAGCCCCGCGACGCTGTCATTGAAAAATCGGGGTCTTCTAAGGGGTCCATCTCGGCGTTACCAGGCAGAGCGCGGTAAGAGAGAGCTAGTGATGGTCAGAGCTCCCCTCGGGGGCTCCCTCCTCTGGCCAGCGTTTCCTTTGTGGAGTAGTTTGGAAGCTGATACTGCTTTTCCTTAATTTTTTCTTCTGTCCTCTTTACACGGACAGTTATCATTTGAAGTCAGCATCAAACGTATCATCTGACCTTTATTTCGTATCACGACACCGCTAGCGATAATCGGACACTGTCGTATTCAAGTGTTGTCATACAATTCGCCAACTTCGAAATTTCCTTTGGAAATCGTGTGGAATGAATATTGTTTATCAGAAAGCCAAACCTGCTCAACCAGATCTTAGCTCATCACTTCCCTTAAAATGTTGTATGAGTGGCTTACAATATGAGATCGCACGGTTCTTTTAGTATTATGTTTGGTTCAAAAGTTAACGCCGTGATGTTTACCTCTGAATGGCAAGGTAATTGCCAAGGCGTTCTGTAATTCAGAAAGAATGATGCAGCGAATTAATTCACCAGCTGCTGAGTGAGAAATAAACTTGTTGTTAATACCTGTCTTCCTTATAATTAGCCATGCGTTCATGTCAAGGTTTCTTAAAAGTATGTAATAAACTTTTTGGCTTAATGCCCTAAAATTATAAACTTGGTCATAAATTTCAATGTTATGTTCATTTTTATTCTTTTACATTTGCAAAATGTTGGGATACAGGTTTGATAATTGCCTGAGTCCTTGACTAAAGTACTTAATTGTGTGACAGCTTTTTCTTAGAAGCACTTGCATTTGGTATTCAAGTGTAGTAGCAATGAGGTGATTACTCTTGAAGCGTGAATCACATTTTGAAATGAATTTACAAAATTTGAGCTACTACAATTTGGCACCAGGCATTGTAGTATAAAGTATTAATAGGAGATTTTCTGGTATAGAATATCAGTATTCAGGAAAAGGAGAAAATAAGGTGTAAACACTGATAATAGATTTTTTCTGATACAGATTCTTTACGGTTCTGTTAATAACCCCTTTAAGCTACAGTTCACCTTTTTTTTTTTTTTTTAAAGGAGTACTGTGTGTATGTGTATTTTACATCAGGGATAGTTGACTCTTAAATTCTAATACTTCTATCCACTTTTCTGTTTTTGAATTTCGCTTGTTTCCTTGGTTGCTGTGATATCACTTACCCATCCCTAGACTGTTCGCCATGGATTTCCCTATCAACCCTCAGCCCTGGCCTTTGATCCTGTACAGAAGATCCTGGCAGTGGGAACTCAGACTGGTGCTTTACGGCTGTATCCTTTCATTTTGTTTTTTAGCTTATGTTTGTTTCCCTCAGTCTGTCCTGTTACTAATTAGGTCCAATAGCTTTAAAATTTTTCGTGTTGAATTCCAAAGAAATAGTGTAATCCAGTATCTGTTACAAGAATTTACTTGCTGTTGTCCTTTCCTTTGATTATAGGTATATTCTCGTTGTAAGTTGCTGCGCTGGTTTCCAGCTCTCAGTGTATAGTACCTAAATATATATCAAAATACAAGTGTAAAGTTTTGTTGTACTGTGTTCTTTTCAAGGAGCTAGAGGTTTCTGCTTCAGCTCCTGTGGCAGTGGTCTATTAAATAGATGAGTTTAAAAGACAGCAGTATGGTGTACATGTTAGCTACGTTTAAAACAAGCATGGTAGATACTGTGTGTGACTTATTTATTAGGCTGATGAATTAGAGGTTGGATTTGAATTTGGTTTGCTACATGTCCATCTAGAAAAATGGAATATTTGTAGAAGACAAATACAGCAAATTAGTTTTCTATACGTAGTTATGAAGAGTTAATATTTTGGGAAGTGTTAAGAGCATTTTCTAATAAAATACCTAGGGGTAAATATACTTTAGTGATATATTTTCCCTTTTATAGTCTATATTTGTCATATATATATATATATATATATATATATTTGTAAACTTTCTGGTAGTAGTACATTTAAGTATTGGCATAGAAAGAATTTTTTTCCTGGTTATGCATGAATTGCAGTGGTTTTGTCACAGCCTTTTTTTTCAAACACTTCAAAAGATAATTTTCAACATTCTTTTTTTTTTTTTTTTAGCTTGGAGAGCTCTTTCTTTTACACCATTCTGCTTGAAATAAAATTGGTACTTGCTTTTACTGCAGCATTTAACTAAACTATTCTTATTTTTAAACTTAAACATAAGTTTTTAAAAAGCTTTTTAATACATCTGTAAGTTCCTTCCTACATATTTATTGGGGTACTATGTTGGTAATGAATAGAAAAATTGTTAGATAATCTCTCTGGATATTTCTGTTATTAGCAAAAATGGAATGGGAAGAGCTTTACTTATTTACATTTTTAGATTTATTTTCATTTGAGTTAAACATGTACCAGACATCTTGTGATCTTTTATGCTAGTACTTACTGGAAGTCTCTCTATATAGTAAATACTGGTAGTGCATTTCTGTCTATTTAGATGGCAAAATCTGACCAAGCTAGATCTGATTCTCTTGATTTCTGGTATAGTCTGTTTTAATTGGTCTTGTCCGAATAGTTGGAACCTCACTTTCTAGTTTATTATTCCTGCTTTAGTATTGTAAAGATGGAAATACAGCTGATTTTGTCAGTTTTCAACAAAATTCTGTGTAATGTCAAGACTAGGGCATTGTTCTGGAAGGCCTCTTTGGAACTGAAAATAGACTTTTTCCTAACAGAATTTCATTACTTGACCAGAAGAAAAAAAGTAAAGTTGAGTTAAATCAGTTATTTTTAAATTGTTTACCTTTTCTAGTGAGTTTGATTTTTACTGTTTTTTCACTGTGGTTTCAAAAGTTTCATAGTTTATAACTTTTTTCCTTTTAACAGCCAATCTGGCCCATTTGTAAATTAATTATAAGTAAGTTCTACCAACAAGGTTGACTTTGTAAAACCAAATATTTTTCTTAGTACCTTTAACACAAATGTATTTGTATAATTAGCAAGTGGGCACAAAAGGTATAGTTAAAATGTTAGGCCTAGTGTTAATTACCAATTGAAAGGAATGATCAAGTATCTAGAATTATCACGTCTATGACTTTTGATATAGATGTGTTTTATAGTTAAATATTATATGAGTGAAAGTGAATCTGTGATTATAGTTTATAATTGCTCTCTGTCTCCCTTTCTCACTCTCCTCCTCTCTCCTCCTCTGTTTAGAATCCGCTTACTATATTTATGGTTTGGAAAATGACCAAATTTCTTCCTGCTTTTCTTTGTTATGAAATTTGTATGAACATTCCAGAGTGATAAATGGGCTTGCCTACCAGTAAATACCACCTAGTCATTCCTTCTGTTAGATTTAGTGCCAGATGAGCTTATGAACTTTATTTATCATGACTGATTTATAGAAAATGACTAAGCCCTTTTTAGTTTTATCTCGCTTTCCACTTATGAATCTTAAGATATACATACAGTAAATTCCTATTCTTTATTTTTTTTTTGAAATGAGATACCTAAATTGTTTAGATTCTAATGGGGTCTATGTATGTATTCCTTTGATTCAGAGTTTTTTGGTATGTGGTACTGGAGATTGAACCCACGGGCTTGTACATGGTAGTCAAATGGTTTATCACTGAGTTATATCACCAGTCCCCTTTCCCCCTCTTTTAAAATTTGAGACAAGGTCTTGCTAAGTTGCTCAGGCTGGCCTTGAACTTCTATATCAGTCTCCAAGGGCTGGGATTACAGGTGCCTGGCTCCATTAATTTTCCATGGGTTCAAAACACTGTATTAGTATAACACACGTATTAATTGCAAGTCTGTTTCTTTAATTTTCCATGTTGCTACTGGTCTCTTTTGCTCCTTGTCTTTTTTTTTTTATCATATTAAACTCTAATAGTTTGTGATATTTTTGCCCTAAAAAGTATCTTTAGAAGATAAATTTATTTCCGAATAAAGGCATTTTTTTAAAACTTTACAGCAAAAGGTAGATGTTTTCAGAAATAGTACTGGACTAAAACAATTCTAAAAGTGTACCTGAAAGTGAACTTACTTAGTATACTAGTTTGACTAAACAAATACCTTCCTAAATGTTGGAGGACTACTTCTGAGTGTTGAGTTGCCTGCCTTGAGTTCAAAACAAAACACTTCCCTCCATAAGAAAGTTATATTAAAATGCAATATTGTAGACCAAGATTATTAAAAAATCTGAATGCTAAAATAATACACTAGCCAGTAACAAGTCTAAGTTGTTTTAATGTTCTTGCTTTATAAGCATATAGAAGTAACTGATGATGTTATTGTAAATATGCTTAATGCTTTACCTTCTAGACTTCTGGAGAGAATATGGGTTGGAAGAAGATGAAAGCAAAGTTTTATACATTAAGTCATATAGCAGTGATAGGACTTAAGTATCTCAATTGTTCCTTTGCGCTGTAGAAATGCATATGACTTGATGAGAACTATTGGAATAAAATAATCCATTACCTTTTTGCCTATGCAGAAGTAACAGGAAAAAAAGTTGGGGAGAGGGGAAGGGCTGGTTTCCTAACTGAGGAATGAAGGTCATTTTAATTCTGCTGTCTCTAACCTTCTGGTTCGGTGGTATAATTTGAAAATGTTTCATAATGCTAATAATAGGTTACCAAGATCCATTTTTAAGATAAAAATTTATTTAAAAACAATGAGAATATTTTATATATTCTTGGTCAAGGACCAAGCGTAAAAATGGAATTTCAGACTTACTGAATTGAGGTAAAAATTTGAGATTTTGGAAAATTATCAGTAGGCAATTTCTGATTTGATAAGACACAGTCATCTTATAAATTGCAGTCTAATCTTGCAGGATACAGGCTTAGGAAGTGATTTTTATACCTTGAAATTTATTTAACAAGCACTTATTAAGTATCAGGCAACATTCAATTATAAATTACTTGAATTCGGATTTTTTTTCTTTAAGAAATATTGTATTCTTTAGTCTTGTTTCTTAGTATAAAAATTAAGGTGCTGTATGAGATGATTTCTTCAAATTCTTCTAGATGCATGATGCAAAAGAAATGAAAATGTGATCCTCACCTTTAAAACTTTACAGTCCTAATCAGTGGAGTAGAGCTAGTTAAACATAATTGAAATTAGAGATTTATTTAGGTGTTTGAGGATATTACACAAAATTAGATTATAGGTAAATTCTATATATTCAATGAATGTTTCTATACATTGATAAGGATTCAGCATGGCAGGGAAAAAGATTTAGGAAAATTATTTTAGGCAAGAAAAAGTAGTGTGGGCTTACATATGGCAAAGAGAATTATATTAATTGAAGATACTAAAAAATGGTTGGATTACTCATCCTAGTTAAATTGAAGGGAATAATAAGCCAGCTTTTTGAGAGTCTAAGTGTTAACCTGAGATATCTACATATTATTTAGTTAGGGATCATAATTATGTAATACGATGCTGGCAAGAAGAAAGTATCATTGAAACCATGTGAAGAATAGGCAGAGATGGGGCTGGGGATTTAGCTCAGCGGCATAAGTGCCTGCCTTGCAAGCAGGCAGTTGAGATTTCGATCCCCCATACCGATTTAAAAAAACAAAACAAAACAAAACAAAAAAAAAAAACGATTAGGCAGAAGTGTCCTGGTTGAGACCAAAGTGAACACTCTAATAATTAATCATTTGTGTAGGAAAGTGGACCTAAAGAAATATGTAAGAATGGGAATTGGAGAAAGATTTCCTAACTCGTGTGTATAAAATTTTAGGGAGTAACTAAGGGTTTTAAAGTTTTGCATGTAAAGTCTTGAGGCAGTTATAAAATGAAAATGGAACATTTGGCAAAGAGATGATAGAGAAATACTGAGTTTGAAATTATGTCATGTTTTATTTGTGAAATTATGTCATATTTTGCTTGTATTATAATGCTAGTTGGAGAAGACTGCCTAGATGTCTTATTTTAGCATGAGAATTTGATACACTTTATGTTTAATTTCTTTTTGGGCTAGTTCTTGGTGATTTCCGGAATTTTGTTACTGAATTATATTTAAAGTCTTTATTAGCTTTTTGGCTTTGGCAATTTGTTCTCTGTCAGTGTTTCTCAGTAACAGTCTCATTTTTTGGCAGTTTAATTCTGTGAATTCGTCCAGTACATTGCAAGATATTTAATATTCCTCGTCTCCTTAACTAAATGCCAGTGTTGCCTCCCTTGTCAGTGTGGCAGCCCAACCACTCCCACACACTTCCATGTGTTCTTGGTTGAGAGTCACTATACTTAGCCAGAGTTCCTCATTAGAGAAAAAAAGATAATCTCTACCTAGCTCA